CCGGGAGCTGGGAGAGGAGGAAGGAGCCTCCCCGGGGAGCTGGGAGAGGAGGAAGGAGCCTCCCCTGAGCCCTGGGAGCCGGGAGAGGAGGAAGGAGCCTCCCCTGGAGCTCAGACTTGGGGCTCAGAGCTGGGGGTGAGCACGTTCCAGGCGTGCTGGCTGCCCTCAGTGACCTGCAGCATCGGCACTCGTCCGGCCCACGTCCAGAGCTTGCCCTGCAGGACCTGCCAGGCTGCCCGCCCCCACTCCTAAGGGCTATTCTGGCCACGGCCCCGAGGTCCCAGACAGGACGCCCCGCGCTGTGTCCACCCCTCACCTGAGCCCCGAGCGCCCAGACAGGAAGCCCCGCGTGGCGTCCGCCCCTCACCTGAGCCCAGGATGCAGCGGGAGCCCCCTCCTCCCCGGTGCAGGTGTGTGCTGTCATCTCTCAGCCTCGACCTGGAGGGACAGGGGACAACATGCTGACGTCGGCCGCCCCTGGGTGGGCGACGATACCGACCCAGAGGACGGAGCAGGTGTGTGAGGTCTACACCCAGGCCGGGAGGCTGACCTCGCCCGGCTGTGTCCCCACGTGGGCCCCGCCCTGAGCTGTCCTCACAGGGAGCGTGTGGCTGGCTGCCCACTGCCCCCAGCACGCGTGGTATTTCACGGACGGTGCGGCCAGCCCTTCCTCGGCTCACAGCAGCCATGGTCACCCCAAGAGGGCAGAGCGGGCTGTGCCCGGCCGCCGGTCACCTGAGCAGGGGGATTTCGGCCAGCGCCACCTGCAGCCGGGCCTCCCTGGTGCGGGCGTTGCAGCGGAAAATGTGCAGGACGATGGTGAAGCGGTCAAACACCTCCACGCCCCACGCGGCTTCCAGCTCTTTCTAAGGGACAGCGTGACCGCGGTCCACCGGGCGGCCCAGGTGACGGCCAGGAGGACAGGCAGGAGGAGACGCCGCCCCAGGCTCTGGGCTTGCTGCTCCCTCCGCGGGGCGCGCGCGAGCCCCCAAGGGCGCCCGGGTTACCTTGGTTGGGGCAGCCATCCTCTCCACGTTCAGGAAGACGGCGGTGATTTCCGGAGACCCACGGATTTTCCCTAAAGGAAGAGGGAGCACAGTTAGAGGGGGACAGTGATGCACACAGGTGTCAGGGTAATCCCTAAGACTGCGTTTGCAGGGCACCTGTGGGTTCATGTACCGACACCCCAACTTCTGGGCACCCTGTCCAGGAAGCCCGCCGTGATTGTCTCTTTAACTGTGGGCCGGCCTCTGGTGCGGCTGAGACTCCGGGGGGACACACGCCCTTCCCGCATGTGGGCAGTCTTCCCGGTCCTGGAGGTGAGCGGGAGCCCGAGGACGCAGCGTCCCGTGAAGCCCCCACTGGGGGTGCAGAGCAGGAGCGGGGTTGCCGAGGAAGCAGCAAGGCGTTTCCACCGTGTTTACCGGCTCCGAACAGCCGCCACGCACTTTTTTCTTTTAGAGATTTTTGCTATAGGTCCCGAGCCCTCGCCACAGACACGGAGAGAGACAGAGACAGAAAGCGAGAAATCACCCCCCGGGAATGGCCACGCCACAGCAGCTCCTCCTCCATTCTCCTCTCGGGATCCTGGGCGCACACACACATGCCTGGCTTGAGTTTATTTATCTATTTTTTTCTTTAGATTTTTGCTATACACTCACTGGAGAGACAGAGACAGAGAGACAGGAAGCAAGAAATCGCCCCCCGGGGGATGGCCACGCCATAATCCCTCCTGCTCCAGGCTGCTGTGGGGACGGACCCTGGGCACGCACGCACATGAAGCGTGAGTTTTAAGCCTCCAGGTCCGGCTGTCTACCACTCTGTTCGGGTGACTGGGCACCACTCTGGGCTCCTTGTGGTCAAGGGTGGGTGCAGCCTTGCGTCCGGGCCCCCTCTTTGCACGAGGAGCACGCAGTGAGCAGAGGGTGCTCGCGTGGACTCGCTCACCTGTCAGATGCTCCAGGCTCCCCTTGCCGAAGACGAGCTTGCTGTCGGGCGTCCTGGTGGGCACCACCATGGTCTGCACCACGGACCAGCCGGCCAGCGTGTGCACCAGCGCCGTGGCCTCCGCCACCTGCCACTCAGCTGCGGGGACAACGGGTCCGGCGTGAGGGCTGCTCCCCGGTGGGGTGGACAGGGCAGGCGTGAGGGGTGCTCCCCGGTGGGGCGGACAGGGCCGGCCTGAGGGGTGCTCCATGGTGGGCCGGCCCACACCAGCCTGGGCACCCTCCCTTCTCACGATGGCCGTTCCAAGAGGGCGCCCAGAGCCAGGGCTGCTCTCAGACGCCGCGACTCCCTCCCCTGTGGCTCTGTGGACTGGACGAGGGAGGAGCTGGGACAGGGAGCAGGGGCCCTGAGGCCCTGGCAGGACGGACAACGAGGCCATGGCAGGACAGGGGACACGATGGCCCTAACTCCCTAGAATTCAGGATGGAGTCGGGCATGGCTGGGGACTGCAGTGGCTTCCAGGGGAAACCCGGGCCCATGGCGACACCCACGGCCACGGCCCCCAGTCCTGATGGTGGGGACGTCTGGACACCCGCTGCGCTCCTGTGGGTGGGATGCAGCACCTTCCTGACCCAGGGCAGCGTCAGCCCGGCTGGCGTAGGGACACGGTGTGGCTGTGGGGCGGGGTATGCTGGGAGGCCCTGGGAGGCCGGGAAGGTGGGGTCCCCGCGCCCGGGTTGGACACAGATGCGATGGGAGATGCCCGGTCCTGGAAGGGCTGGGAACAGGCAGCGTCTCTGCCCCCAAGCCGCCGGCAACGCCGATAAGAACCTCCGCACCTGCCGCGGGACTCCGCCTCTCCCAGCCCTGCCCATCCCCAGGTTGGACCTATGAGCACCTCCGTGCAGGGCCCGGCCCCTCGCAGGCCCCGCCCCGTTTCTATCTTCGCCAGTAACTTTCTCTGCCTGGAGTCACGCCTCCCCCATGCCACGCCCCTCATCTACATAGTGCCCTGCGGTTCCTCAGAAGCTCCGCCCCCGTCTCCATGTCTGACCTATGAGTTACTCCTTTCGGAGTCCCGCCCCCAGACACCCCTACTCATTTCTCTCCCGGAGCCCCGCCCCCAGCACGCTCCCTCTATTAAGGCCTTCCCTCAGTGTCCCGCCCCCGGAAGTCCCGCCCCTTAGCCTGCACTATATAAGCTCCATCCCGGGGTTCCCCCGTTGGTCACCTCGGGTCTGCTGCTTCCCGGTTCCCCCCTTGATCTCGGGGTGCACCAAACACACGCGCTGGGCCCCCGCCGGCAGCAGGGGGCTCGCCGTCAGCAGCTCGTCGTCCTCTTCCCCCTCCT